TTATCCTCGTTTATCCCGACCGAAGCGCCATTCGACGCCGACCGACCGGCTAACGCATTGGCGTTAACGCGCTAATGCGATACGTACTTTATGTACGGAGGGAGAGAACCCAACCACCCGAACGCGACAAACGACATAACGCGATTTCGACCAAAGTCCCGCGACCTCTCTCGCTTTTCGCTTCTCCTACTTTCACGGCCTCGATGCGCCGAAATCGTTGCCCACCTCCGGTACCTGGCGGCGATAATTTAAAAACAAAGTCGCTCGAATCGCGATTGTCGTTCGCGGAACCGTCGCGAACAAACACTGGACGCGTAAGGAAGATTCGGACCGATCGTCGCAACGCGTCGCGGTAAACGGTAGAATTCGTTTCGCGATAGGTAGAGACCGTGGAAAATCTTTGACGTAGCTTACAGCGAGAGAACGTTGGTCGAACAGAGTGGCGATTAGCGCGGTACGCTAGCGGTCGAGGAAGCCCCGCTCTTCAGCCATCGGCAACGATATTCCGAAAGTTGCAACAGCCGCGAGGACGCCGTGACCAACCACGTCCCTGTCACGTATCCTTGGACTTTGTCGTTATTAATTGTCCAACCGTCGGAGCGAACAGCGAAGATAATGTAGTTGCGCAACAGGTACTACCACACCTGAGTCTACCGCGTTGCATAATCGCGGGTAAGAACTGTGTATGCGAAATCTGTGTACCGTGCCGAGAAAGGAATCGACCGTAAGAAACTGCGAACGGTTACGACGTTTACCGCGTCGACCTTCTTCTTTTCTCTGTTTTTTCTGCGTTCGCCGATTCGTTCGTAAACCGTCGTTCGCGTCGACGCGGGGAGGCCGCGGTACCAGCTGCTTCGAGCGTCTCGAGTCTAGATAGCTTCGCTTCCGAGAGATTTCGACGCGACGGAAGGCACGGAAAATCGAGAATCGGAGGACTAGGCGGCGAGCAAAGTCCGGCGAACACAAAGCCGCCAACACGATAATCCGATCGTCGGCTACGGAAACTAGTTGGAAATAAGCTTGCAGCGCGATAATTTCACCGGAATCGAAGTCGCTCCAACTATTTTCGCTTAGAATAAATCGACGAACGTCGTTAAAACCGAGTTAATCGCGTTTCGCGATAGTTCTCGCGTCACGGTCGTTGACGAGCCTTCGAAAAATTCGACCTTCTCCGACGAATTACCCAACATCCGGATAAGTAATTAACTCGATTCGTTTCTCCCACAGATCGGAATCAATCCGGGACTCTTCGCCGCTTACAAAGGACATCACTACGCCGGACCAGGGAATCATTTCTGTAAGTTACTCTCTAATTTCGAGTCTCTCCTCTGGCGCAGGAGTATCCTGCGAGTAACGAACCGCGTCTGGAACCTCGCGTCGACGTATCGTCATTCGATAGTAATTCGTTTTTGGTAACAATGGGAAAGTCGAGGGAAAAATTTTGAATCGCGAAGACCGATAACCGCGACCGAATAGCGAAACATCGACGGAAGAGAACGACTTGGATCTCGTAACGCGCGTCGCGAATTACTGGATCCGTTATTTCACGCGGCACTCCTTCAAAGACGTTCCGCCCTTTTTCCTTCCTTTCGCTCGTTTTTAACCACGTCGACGTTAAAAATGTTCCGAACGGTGTCGCGAACAACCGCGCACCGGCCACTTTTCCTTTGGAAAAAAACGAGTTTTCCCTGAAATCGAAGTTTCACGAATTCCGATTTCACCAGTCTTCCGCGAGTAATTTACGATCGGACCCAAGTCGGACAAAACGACGAAACTTCCCAAGAAAGTAAAGCGACACCGGTCCGCTTATTGCCGCTTCGCGGCGCGTCGCCCTTTCGAAAGTTTCAAACGCGCTGGTTCGTTCAGAATCTGGCGGGAACGCGAGCACGTCTTTCCTGCGCGTTATCCGCACAATTTGAATCGCGACGAACTCGATCAGTTTCGAAAAACGTTGTTCGTACGGAAGAGCAACGAGAGCGGGCTACCACGCGATCGAATCGTTTACGATTCGGCTTCGAGCGAACGATCTCGCTGGCCTCCGGTGAAACGAATGTTCGTTACACGGTACGCGCGAGTGTACTTTACGCGTATCACCAGCCGTAGTTCGCGTGCTCGCGTGCTCGCGTACATAAGGTACGAGCGCATCGCGAGCAACGAACGTACTCTTACATGCACGAACAGACGCGGGCGAGCGAGCGAGCGAGCGAGCGAGCGGGCGGGCGCGCACTCGCGTTCGCACATAGGTAGAGTACATGCAGGGTGAAGTTAGGTATACGCTGCTGGATTTTCCAGGGTTTTCCCAGGGTTGCGGTAGAGCAGTGGATGGGGTGGAGGGTGATGGCGATGGGATACGAAGCGGGTTGAGGCGAACTACGGACCGGGGAACAGAGGCGAGGGAGGTTGGTCGTCGTGGAGGGAGGAACTATAATGAGCGGTGCGCGCGAGGGAGAGCAGGATAAAAAGGGGGCGAGAGGGAGGAGAGGGGATGGGATGGGAGGGGTGGAGGTGGGTCAGGGAGGGGGAACGTGGAAAGAGGAGAAGGACGGGAGGGTGGAAAGCAGGGTGATACGGGGTAAAAAGGTTGGAAGCTGTGGCAAGCAGCGGGGCGGGAGGTGGTTGACTGGGTGGTTGCTAGCTACGGTGAGCAGGACGAGCCGCGGGCGAAGAGGGAAAAGGAGGTGGCGGTGGAGGGGCAGAGAAACGTGGGCCGCACAGGGTGGAGGAGGATGGTTGGATCGAGAACGACGGGTCAATTTGAGCCCCGCAGGGAGGGAGAATCGGACCGGGCCTAAAGGCAGTAAACGCCGAAAAATTCAACGCTGTTCAGCCGATTCGATCGCTCGAACGCGAACCGTTCGCTCGCGATCGAGCCTCGCGGCCGACGCGCCTCCCGTCC